TAAAACCTAATATCTCTTTGTGTATTTGTCAATTTTGCATATATTTGGTATGACAGTATGTTCGTAAATATCTGGAAAAATCTCGTCTTTCGTTACTAATTTCATTGTTTGAAATGTCTACCGACCATGTCCCAATAATTTGTTTGAAATATCGATCCCCATTGGTTTCTCCAAACGGTCCCGACGTCCGTCATTCAACACAATCAGCATTTATTTATCGTAATTCATGGGGATCATGTCCCGTAATTTGCGGGCTGTAAAACCAAATAATTAAACAAGTACTATTTATTATGTATTTTTTTTACCTCGGGAAACTACAACACAGCGTGGAGTTGTTCGCGGTGAAACAGTCGCATTGAAATCGATGGAACTTCAATTATTCATTTCTCACCTTGAAATAAAATAAAAAAAATCGAAGAGCATCGGGGGCTATATTATTAACCAGTCTTACCAATCGCTAGCTTTATTTTATTCAAATCCATAAAATTCATGAGTTTTTCGACATTTGTTCCGCACTAAAAATGGTTGAAAATGTGGGAGTGGTTTTCTCGCAAAGTCCCGTTGATAATACGGACAAATATGGTTTTGTGACCCAGGTCGTGCTCTGATCAGGTGACTCTCAGCCAATCAATGATGTTGTAACAAAGCATATTTGACGCTAATTGAAGGGTCGTCGTACTGTCCAATCTCCGGCGTCGATTTACTGTGCTGTGACAGGCTTCACAATCATTCACTGAAAAACATCGGTATATTTTGACAAACGCCTGGGATTTGACCTCAGTTCAAAAAAAGAAAAAAAAAAACTGGGCTGAGATACAAATCAGTTTTGCAAGTTGGGAAATAAGGTAAACCAGACTGGGGTCGAAGATATTCAGTATCGAATGACTTCCATGTGTATCATGAGTTTCATATTGTTCATCGACTGGTCATCAAATATTTACGGCTACAACTAAATGAACACGTTTTTTTCTGAAGCCCAATAAATTATTTCTGCATGTCAAGTGCTATTCAATTTTTTACAGGGCATGTGGCTCGTTTTTATTCAAAAATATTTTTTGCGAGAATACTTTTAAAGTATGTATGGATCGAGCTCAGATCACTGATCGTGACTTAGTTTTGAGAATTGGTTGTCAAATTTTACCAGACCGACGCCACCACAACCATCCAATCATAGTTGGAAATGTACGCACTTGTTTTGGAACGTTGTATCAAGATGGCAGGCAACAACGCTGACGCACCAGGCGGCGTATGTGTGTTTTGCATGTATTATTAGTCCGGGCATGGGATCGGACTCGACTAAAACTAAACGAAACACAGAAAAATACCACCAAAATGAGGAATTTGAATCTGTTCTCTTACCAGCAAATAAAATGAACGAAAATAAGGTAATTTTATAACAAGAACAGTTTCATTTCGTATAGCAAATTGTGTTGTATCCGAACGACGATTGCATCCATCGCGTGATTTAAATTTATCACGATTTTCCTTGTAGTCAATATGACACTCGCCACCTTGCAGATTGCAATGTACTTCACAAAGTTTTTAGTACCCAATACTCGCAACATTAAATAATTAAACAAGATATCTTTTTAAAATGTCATTTTACTCTTGGTCATATTATTTTATTCCCCTTACCGCCTTGAATTTCAAATAGATTACATATCGAACTTCTGTACATGTGTTTTTCTCTACTGCCTTTCCATGTGAAAATAATGAGGTCATACTCATGTCACAATACTTTGAAGCTGATGCCATGTTGATGCCATGTGACTGTGAAGCTGAGGCCACGATGATGCCACAAAATAAGCGAGGCGAACACAGCTTCAATTTTCAATGATGCGAAGCTGATGCCACAATGATGCGATGCTGAGGTGACAATGAAGCCATGCGTAGGCGACAATGATGCCACAAAAGCCAAAACTTTCGCGAGAACTGTACTGTACCTTGGTATTCGCTGTACTGGTGTAATTAATAAGGCTTCTAATTTTAATCCTTTATTTTCTTCTTTCTCTTCTTGTAATCTTTTAAACGCTGAGAAATCACTGCTTTTCTTTGTCCATTCCTAGGTAGACAAACAAATATACGAAACTTTTACAATCCTTTTGTGCAACTGTAAGAAAAATTAAAATGAGTCGGCCATTTTGAATCAGAACTTGAAATGAATACATGTCAGTATGTGTGACATGATGAACGACATATGTGAAAAAATTGAATGCAATTCGTCAAGCTTCTCAAAGATATGGCCACCAGTCAGCCATTATGAATTTAATCTGAAAAGTAACAAGTCATGAATGACACTGCCTTCGCTAGTTGTCATTCTAAAGTTGCATGGACATAAATTGGCAAACGTGATTTCTATGGCATTTTCAAGCACTCTCCATCCAGGTCAGCATTATTCTCAGCAAGGAAACCAGATAGCACCAAACCAGTACAACAGGTAAAATGACAAGGAAGTATACAAATGAGATCTGCAAATCTGTAGAGTCAGTGTTGTGTCTGTTTGGATCAACTAGTTTGTGGCCCTGGATTAGTTTCAATATCTCTAATAAGGACAAGATTACTTCTTATACGACAATGATACAAATAAAGTGCAAAAATCCAGAAAAATATTATCAAGTTTTTATTATCATACATTT